AGCTGGGGTGCTGCCAGGTTGGTCCCACAGCCCTGAGGGGAAGCGTTATGAACCAACCCGGCAGCACCCCAGCTGTTCTGCTCCCGGCTTCCCCGATTCAGCTGCTGGTCAGTTTCAGCAGCAGCTGAATGGGGGAAGCCTGTCTGGCTGCCCCAGCATTTCTGGGTTCCTGATGGTGCCGGACCATCAGGAGTCCCGGAGCATTGGATGCCGGACCAATGGAGTTTTACTGTAGTATGAAGTTCTTAGCACTTTACATCTTTTATCAATCAGGCTACCAAGATATGAAAAATAAGCATATTCATCAAGCTGATCCTGAACTACTCCATTTAAGTGTTCCTGTGCTCACGAATTGCATAATGTAAATTACAGCCCAAAATTCTCATTACCTGATCCTCTGAGAACAAGATGCCTTTCTGAGCATTTATTCGTCTAAACAGGTCCCCTCCTTCACAATAATCCATCACTATATAGAGAGAGCCATTTTCTGTAAAAACAAGCAATATTCCAATATTTCATAACAAATATAGATGTGTAAGTTTTCTGAATATCTTACCATATGAAATTTATTTTTGTGTAGGTCATAGCAAAGATACAGGTGAAAAAACAGTTATTTATTTCCCAAGCTTCAGGCAAACTGCTTATATTGTTTCTGTTTTTGGCATTGGTGATTCAGCAGATGGCATTCTTTCCTTCATATCATAAAAATCAATACATGAATATGGTGTTAGGGGGCACCGAAGAAACTGAGGTATCTATTCTCAACCCTCAATTATCTTAATGTTAAAGGAGATGGAACTTGCTTTAGATGTTCAAGTTGTAATTTAGGTCATTACATCTGTCTATTTTAATTTTTCTTGCAGTTTCACTGTTTCATATAAGCTACATTACATTACTGTTATAATGGCTGTCACTCCCCATCCCAGCATGTTGGCTGTCACCCCCAATCCCAGCAGGCAGCACGACAGAGAAGGTACTGGCGGGAACCAGCTTTTAAGTTCCTGTCCCCCCACCTTGCTGCTTCTAATAGGGAAGTGAGTAGTCAATACTCCAGTCGACTACTGACTCACATCCCTAACCAAAACATGACAAATAAATCTTTTATTTCTCTTTTTACAAGTTCTCATGTAAGATACTCCCTTTATCAATGAAAAAGAAAGATATGCACAATAGTCGTTCCCCTCCAGTTAATTATTTACACTGGACCTGAGAGTAAACAGAAGTGTTTCTATTTAAATACAAACAATAGTATTTAAATGGTTACAAATCAAAATAGATCAAAATAAGCTACTAAAATAAAACAAATAATTTAAGTTGGTCTTTTATTCTGACTTGGCTCTCTAGCCCTTCAAAGTTCTTTGTTTCCTCTTAGAGTATCCAGACAGTTTCAAAAGCCAGCTGAAGACAAAGGGGATTGCTTCCCATTGCTTACATATTCTTTCCCTTGGGGCAGGAACCCTTTGATCTACATCAGGGTTAGTCAACCTGTGGCCCATGGCCTGCATGCGGCCTGCAGCCCGTTAGTTTGTGGCCCGTTAGTTTGTGGCTTACAGAGAAGATTGGGTTTACGTGGGGCTCAACACGTGGCCCATGGGTGGGATCCTTTAACCATGGCCTTCACTGGAAGCACGTTCCACAATGGCGAGGCATCTCCCAGGCAGAAATAGATGGTTACAAGGTGTTGGCGTTTCTAGCCTTCAGGGAGGTAGTGCCAGGAACACTGGGACATTGTGAGAAGTACTGGCTGCTTAGCCTTGTGGCCAGAACCTGAGAGGTACTGACTGGCTTACACTGGCCACGTTTGAGTAAATGACTAATTATGTACACAATACAATTTGCATAGAGTACACAATTAGTTGATAAAGGGCTGCTGCGGCTCTGCAGTTGAAATGTAGTAGGAGACAGGAGTGCACGCAGCCCAGCTCCTACTACATTTAACTGCAGAGCTGCAGCAGGGTTAGGTCCGGGACCTAGTACGAGCCAGGACTGAAGCATTCCGGACCGCTGCAGCTCAGCCTTTTAAATTAAGCAAGAGCCGGCTCCTGCTTCCCCTCTCCTTGCTGCTTCAGATATAGAGGCAGCGAGGGGTGGGTGAGAGGGGAGAATGCAAACAGTCGACTTGACTGCCCAATAAGCCTGGGCTTATCAGGTAGTCGACTAATCTTTTACATCCCTATATTAAGGTTTATGCACTTACTGTCTTAATGTTAAAAGGAGTAACTGGTGAATTGTATTACTTGGTGACTGCCTAATCATGCAGGAGAGATGTCACTCCTTACTTAAGCTGGCGATGCAATGTAATTTGGTAGCACTGCCTCATCACAAAAAAAAAAAATCAGTGAATAACTATCAAACATAATTACAAACAATTATAATAGACAGTGGATCACTCTGTTATGAATAAAAACAAAAGATTGCTTCAGAATAACACAAAGTGGGAAGAGGCAATCTGAAACTAATTATGAGTCATCTTTTTCAACAGAGGTGTTTACAAATAAGTTTGTATCTCCTATGAAACCAACCAGCTCTAAAACAGACTGAAATTTCAGAGACCAAAAAATACTTTATTAGATAAGATAGCTCTAACTATTAATAAGTGTAGGCCCTAGTTTCCACATTTAAAATTTTGCTTTGTATGGTAAACCATTCTTTTGTTATAACTGGAACCAATCTATTCTGTCTTCTATAAGTGTTCATATTACTGTGCATTGTACTAATGTGATAATTTAAGGCAAAACTACTAAACTGGTTACACTGTTCCTCTAGGACCAAGAGATCTGGGATTTCTGTGAGTAGCCAGTAATGGGCAGGATATATCAGAAGCATGCTTTTAGCAGACTCAGGAGCGCTTCTTGTTAACCAGCCAGGCAAAGAAAGGACTGGCGCAGCTAGGAGGAGAGTCTTGAGTAACTTACAGAATGATTGACTTAGCAGGCTACCAGCTACCACAGGCAGGACTCCCACTTGCTAGAGGAAGAAGTAACAGGGTGATAATACAGTATTGTAACAGGAGGGTTATGCAAAAGAGTTGGAGGTAGCTGTCCCACTGTACTTGATGCTGATGAGGCCTCAGATGCAGTACTCTGTCTAGTTCCAGGCAGCACACTTTAAGAAGGATGTGCACACACTGGAGAAAGTTCAGAGAACAGCAACGAAAGTGGTAAAGAGTTTAGAAAAGATGACCTGTGAGGAAAGATTTAAAACATGGGCATGGTTTGTTTTGAAAAATGAAGACTGAGGAGACGATCAGACAACAGTCTTTTCAAATATGCCAACGTCTGTTATAGTGAATATAGTGATCAATTGTTCTCCATGTCTACTGAAGGTAGAAAGGGAAGCCATCATCTTAAATCTGGAGAAAAGGAGATTTAGATCAAGCATGAAAAACTTCCTAACTACAAGAACAGTTAAGCACTTGAGAAGATTTCCAAGCGAGTAACTGACAGGATTTGGATGTGGAACTGAAATCATTCTAAGTTTTTGCAAACAGGTTAGAATATCTGTTGGGGATGGTGTAGGTATGCCTGGTCCTGTAACAGCATAGTGGGCTGGATTAGATGACCTTTCCAACTACCTTCCAGAAGTTGTTTTTGCATGAAAGGGTAGTTCCATAGTTACAAAGTAAACAGGGTGGACTGGTTTAAATCAAGGCAATTTAAAACATTAATTTAAATAAAGATTTAAATCACAACAACAAAAACAATGATTTAAATCAGGTTTGTAACTGATACTTCATGTATTTCTTCAAACGATAACACTCATTACTCATGTCAGGCTGCATTAAGAATGTTAAGAACTAAACCACACACACAATAGCACTTACTTATTTTATTCAACTAAACCTTAAATGTTACTTAAATGTTTCACATTTGCCACTGCAGCAGTCTCCTGAGTTGCATGACAGCTGTCCTTCAACTTTTTCTTTTAATTTCAATTTCATTAACTCTACCAGACAAGTTCTGAGAACATTCATATATGTAATCCTTAAAACATCTACAACTAGGTCTCATCTTCCCACTCTCACTGTCAATTTGATGCAGATCTGATTCCAAGTTACCAAAAAAAGCTAAGACTGACTATGCTTAGAAGCTTCAGGGGGTAGCCGAGTTAGTCTATACAGGATAAACTTAAAAAACAACAAAAAGGCTGGTAGCACTTTATAGACTAACAAAACATGTGGATGGTATCATGAGCTTTCGTGGCACAGCCCACTTCTTCAGATGACCGGAGTTCTTAATGACAAGACCACTTAATTTTGGAATAAGCCCCATTGAAAACAATTATAGGATGGGGTTCCTATGGGAAAGCTGAGCTATGCTGAAGTAAAATAGGAATAGACTTAACGGCATCACCATTATATTCTGTGACCATGATATTCCTAGATAAGGGGCATGTATTTATAATGTAATCTCATAAATATTTCCGAAAGTTTGTTTGTCTGTCCCAAAAGATATCCAAAATGGTAAGAGCTAGAAACATCAAGTTTTGCATGGATACTGAATTCCTAAATTAAATAACTGGATTGGTTATATCTCAAAATCGGTTTCCCCAGAGCCCCAATTGGGCCACTAATTCGCTTTTAGTACTGCCTGATCACAGGCATTTGCTGGATTCCTCTGTTAAGCGTGTCACAAACTGCAACTACGATACTTTGTCTGTTATCATAGGGAAAGGATATTTCAAATAAAATATATGTTAACGTAATTGACGCAGTTCATTCACCACATTTTTTGTTATCAAGAAATGAGTTAAATGTAAATGCATTTTGTAAGCACATCACTAGCTATGTTAATTTCTTAAAAGTAATATACAAGAGAAAAGTATTTCTAATAAACCGTGCTGTTAATGTCACTGATGTAGTTCATTCATCACACCTTTTGCTATATTTACCCCACATGATGCCAGGTATTTCTGCTAGTATAAAATAAGAAAAGGTCACTCAGTGGCAGTGTCTTCAGAACTCTGCTATGCTTGGCTCAGGTCCATCACCACACTTAAACACAAAACAAAAACAATCTTATCTAGCCTGTGTCTGTCTTTACACATTTGTCTGCCGAGAAACAGAAACCAAAAACCCAGAATTCTCAACAATCAAGAATTGGTTGCCTGTCTGGACAGACGAGAGTCATTAATTCATTTTTATGAGACTGCTAAGTATAGGTGTAGTATGTTGTGATGAGATTAAATTGTAATCTATTTTTAAAATGAGAAATTTAGTATTTTATTGATGACTTTGAATTAAAAAAATCTATTTGTATATAAAAAAAACATTGAATGTTATCCACCCTGAAAAAAAAAATGAACATAGAAAGCTATCACAAGGACTGTCTAATTACTCTGTTTAAATCATGAGGAACCCCATATGTGCACATGAGAATCTGAACGTAACCTAACTGCTTTCAAACACTGATCCAGGATACCATGTTTAGCTTCTCCATAACGTCTGCTTATTCCTGTGATGCTCATTATGATAGTGTTCTAAAACAGCATATCAGCAACCTCTTCAATCTTTCCTCACTAGTTCAATGTTCACAGTTTCAGACTATCAATATGAGGGATACAAGATCTAAACAGAACACTGGGCCACTGATAAATACAGCCTTCCTTAAAGGCACAGTGTCTTTCAGGAGGATCCTTGACAAAGTCATTCCCATCCCCAAACCAATCAAAATCCATCAGGGCAAGGTTCCTGCATCTTTCAAGTTTTTTGGTGACAATGTGAGGTAACTTACTGTCCTGAGGACTTATGGATTTCTTGTATACACACAAGTCAGTCAACTGGTTCATTCATATTTGAATTTAGTTTGAGTACAAGCATTTCGAGCTTAGGATAGATATATATATATTGGAAGAAAAAACATCTGGTGGAACCTTCCCAGCAAGAAAAAGGACTAATAAATTTTTCACTTATATTAAACTTCAGACAAAAAACATAAGCTATATATATTTTTCAAAATGCACAGACTATCACTTGAATATTCACTTGTTCATGTTCCATTATGTAGTTGTGAATCTTACCTTCAAATGATTCCCGATACAGGACAATATTTGGATGTTTCATGTTTGCTAACACAGCAACTTCTCTCCTTGATTCTTCTCTCTCCTTATTGGACATCTTTAAAACAAAAAAAACAAGACCATTTTTGAGATCAGAAATACAAAAAGAACATATTTATTATTAATACTATCACTCACCTTAGAGATGTTTATCTCCTTAATAACATACTGTTTGCTATTTTCTTTAGATTTGACCAGAATTGCTTTTCCAAAGGATCCTTCACCAATCTTTTGCACCTTAATATATTTCTCCATAGCTCTTCTTCTAAGGCATCCTTACACGAAGGGCTGGGCAAAAAACAAAGTGTGCTCTGTTAACTAGATAATTAAGTTTAGTATCTGCCATATCCAGTTATGAATATCATTTTAGTTACTAATTAATTTGTCTTGTCCATTCCATAATAAACTTAATTTCTCCTTTGCAAGTCAGTTAATCCAAATCTCAAAGTCTCACCCACTAAGGATGCAAAATCATATTATTTAATCAGTTAATCAATTAAGGAAGGGGCAGGCAAGAGGGGAGGGGGGAAGCAGCTGGGCTGAAGCTAGAGCCTGCCACAAGTGGGGAGCTGCTCCAGGTCCCACTAGTTAACCAGAACTTTTCACTGCTTGAATGGTCCAGGAAGTAGGGATGTTAGGGTATGTCTACACTACAACGTTAATTCAAACTAACTTAGTTCGAATTAGTTAATTCAAACTAAGCTAATTCGAACTAACGGATCCAGACTAAAAAACTAGTTCGAATTAGCCTTTTGCTAATTCGAACTAGCATGTCCACATTAAGTGGACTCTGAACCGGGCTTAAGGATGGCCGGAAGCAGTGCCGGCAGGGCATCAGAGGAGGACTTGGAGCGTGGAGATGCTGTCTCAGGCTAGCCGAGGACTGTGCTTAAAGGGTCCCGACCCCCACCCCGGACAGACAGTTCTCAGGGGTGCCCCGCTTGCAAAGCAGTCCTGGCTTGGAGTGCCCGGACTACCCACACTGGGCACATCACACCACTCGGCCATCAGCCCGGCTGCACTTGCCATAGGCTGCCATCTGGGGAGAGGGGGCAATTGGGGAGCTGCAGGAGAGCTTCCACCTCCAGAAGCCCGCAGAGCCAGCCCAGTCCTCCCCATCAGGGGCTCGTGCCCCATTCCTCCCTCACCCCCTTCCACTTACCCTTCCCTAGCCCCTCTTCTTGATGTACAAAATAAAGATAACGTGTCTTCCAAAATGGAATCTGTCTTTATTGAACAAAACTGGGGGAGACTGGGAAAAGGAGGTGGGAGAGGGGAAGAGAGAGGCTGGGAGAGGGGAGGGCAACTAAAATGGTCAGGGGTTGGGAACAGGTCCCATATGAAAAGAGGCTAAAAGGACTGGGACTTTTCAGCTTAGAAAAGAGGAGACGGAGGGGGGACAGGATAGAGGTCTCTAAAAGCAGGAGTTGGGTGGAGAGGGTGCATACAGAAAAGTTCTTCATTAGTTCCCATAAAGAAGGACTAGAGGACACCAAAGGAAAGGAATGGGTAGCAGGCTTCAAACTAGTAACAGAAAGTTGTTCTTCACAAAGCAAAGAGTCAACCTGTGGAACTCCTTGCTGCAGGAGGCTGTGAAGGCTAGAACTGGAACAGAGTTTAAAGGGAAGTGAGATCAAGTCATGGAGGTTGGGTCCATGGAGTGCTATTAGCCAGGGGGTAGGAGTGGTGTCCCTGCCCAAGGTTTGTGGAAGGCTGGAGAGGGATGGCACGAGACAAATGGCTTGGTCACTGTCTTCGGTCCATCCCCTCCAGGGTCCCTAGGGTTGGCCACTGTTGGCAGACAGGCTACTGGGCTAGATGGACCTTTGGTCTGACCCAGGACGGTCATTGTAAGCTCAGGGCTCAGCGTCGGGGGTCTCACTGGACCCCCATGATTCTCTTGCACACCTGCTCCTGGGTGGCCAGGCTGACAGCTCTCCTGCCCTAGATGGCCACTTTCCCGTGCCAAGTGCGGAGATCGTGGACGAGGTCCACGATGTCTGCACTAGCCCAGGTGGGTGCCCACCTCTTGCGGGAAGGGGAGCTTGGACCCTCCTGTGAACAGGTACTGCTCTGTCTGCTTTGCAGCAACCTCCCCTGCCCCACTACCCACTGCTGCCTCTATCAGAAGCACTGTGGAACCAGTGCTGGGGGCAACCAGCTTTTAAGCCAGCTTCTGCTTCCCCCTTTCCGCCTCTGATACAGAGGGAGCAAGGGAGGGAGAAATGCAAGTAGTTGAGAAGATTAACCAATAAACCTAAGCTTATCAGTTAATCCTATACTCAACTACTCCATTACATCCCTAATAGTCAGAAAATACCAGTGAATTCAGTCTCCAAGTAAAGTCCATATTCCCTGCTTCACCTTGCTAGCGAGCATCACCTTAGCTTCCTTTAGCTCTCATTATTGGGGAAGACCACCTCAGTAAGAAATTTGGAATACTTAAATACATTTTATTGAAAAGCACCAATTTTCTTCCACTATTTGATCTGAGGAAGTGGGTCTGGCCCACGAAAGCTCATCACCTAATAAACCATCTTGTTAGTCTTTAAAGTGCTACATAGTCCTGTATTTTGTTTCAGCTACACAAGACTAACACGGCTACATTTCTATCACTGTTAGAAAGAGTTATCAAAGGGGGAGTAACCGAGATCTACCAATTAAGTGTGGCCAGATTAACAGAAAGGAGACCCACCTAGGTTTGTGCAAGAAGGAAAAAAAAGGCATGACAGAAAGAACTAGTTCTAACTCAGAATTTTCTTCTTAGGTACTACTTCCAACCCAAGAGGTAAATTGTCTTTCAGTGTTTAAGCCGCTGGGAGGCGAAGAGCTGAGAAGAAGCAGAGCCCAACCAAAGTAACGCAATTTGGTCCTAATTAAGTGCTTGGTTTCTAGCAGACATCATGGTAAAACAACGTCCGAAGGAAGGATCAGACAGAAAAGGTGACGGCTTTGCCCCACCGTACAGGAAGCGGGGTCCCTGCGAGGGGGTCACTGCGGTACCAGGGCTGGGGGGCAAGCTGAGCTGGAAAGCGCCACACGACTCAGGACGCGCCAAACGGCGCCGCCTCCCAAGGGCCCCCACACGTGAGCGGCTGCAGCCCGCAGGTGAGGGTGCCAGAGAGAGAACCAGACGCCGATGCCCTTGGGTTACACTCAGCCCCACGGGCGGCCGCAGAGCCAGGGCAGCGCGGACCTGCGGACCAAAGGCCGCCGCCCTCAGAAGCGCGAAGAGCCGCCCCTGGACC